ACGGACAGGGAGCAAGAGATGGACGGACAGGCTTGTCCTCCAGTGGACGGCCTCAAGCTGAGATACATTCCCCCAGATGGAGGAAGGCTGGCACGAATATTCCCCCAATCACTGCCATTATTGAAGAGGATAATGGATGGGGAGTGCCTATAAAAGAAAGAGGGACTTGGGGAATGGAGGATATCTTGTAATAAGGAGAGAAAATACGTGAGTAAATAATAAAAGATATTCTAGCGATCCTCAAGCATATTCCGTTCCTAAGAGGACCGAATAAAGGAGAGGACCGCCGATTTGAGTTATTATCTAGTGAGCAGTGCTTCTATTACTATTAATTATTATTCTCGTATTATCTTTCAATATTATAAGGCCCGGATACCTATATTTGGACCTAGGCCGATCTACAGTCCTTAGGAAAATATTGGGTATCCATCAGTAATTTTTGTGGGATACCCCAAGGAAACTAGAGGGTATGAGTTCTATCATCCATCCGATAACAAAAAATTTTGTTGCTCGGAATGGAACCTTCCTTGAGAAGGAGTTTCTTTCTGCTATCACTAGTGGGAGAAAGGTAGACCTCAAAGAAATTCGAGAACCACAAGAAGAAGTCCTGATAGTGTTGGAACCTGAGCAAAGAGATCAAGCAATTGAACCTCAAATTGCTCAAGATATACCGTGTAGGTCTGACCGGATATGTAATCCTCCGGTTAGATATGGATTTCTCATGTATGATGAAGGTGACGTTTTGTTGGTAGATCAAGGCGAACCAGAGACCTATCTCAAGGCAATTACATGCCCTGAATCCGATCTATGGCTCGAAGCCATGAAATCTGAAATGGAATCTATGTATACAAACCAAGTCTAGACCTTGGTTCATGCGCCCGAAGGGGTAAAACCCATTGGATGCAAGTGGGTCTTCAAAAAGAAGACAGACGTAGACGGGAAGGTTTATACCTTCAAAGCTCGATTGGTAGCAAAAGGTTATAGGCAAATCCACGAAATTGACTATGATGAAACCTTTTTCTCCAGTTTTTATGCTGAAATCCATTCGGATAATGCTTGCAATTGCAGCCTATTACGATTACGAAATTTGGCAGATGGACATCAAGACAGCTTTCCTTAATGGGAACCTCAAAGAGGATGTCTTCATTACACAGCCTGACGGTTTTCAAATTGCTGGTCAGTCTGCCAAGTTTGTAAGCTACAACGTTCAATCTACGGATTAAAACAAGCATCTCGGAGTTGGTATATACGCTTTGACGAAACCATTTCCAATTTTGGTTTCGAGAAGAACTCTGATTAATCTTGTGTATACAAGAAGGTCAGTGGGAGTGTAATAGTATTCCTAATCTTATATGTCGATGACATATTGTTAATGGGTAACGATATTCCCGCTCTCACTTCTGTGAAGACGCCGTTGAGCGAGAACTTCTCCATGAAAGACTTAGGGGATGCTAGTTATGTCCTTGGCATAAGAATCTACCGAGATAGATCAAGAAAGTTAATAGGTCTGAATTAAAGTACATATATAGATAAAATCATTGATCGATTTAGCATGTCTAACTCAAAGAAATGATCTTTACCTATGGCACCTAGCACGATTCTTTCTAAGAGACAAAGTCCTTCTACTCTGGAGAAGAATGAACTCATGATGAAGGTTCCAAACGCCTCTGCGATTGGAACCATCATGCACGCCATGATATGTACTAGACCTGATGTTCATTTGATTCAAACATCCCCCGCATGAATATTAACTAAACCACTTGGCCACATCACTACGGTATGGACTTAGAATCCATCTTCTACTGAAGATGCAGCTAAGACCCACCAATCC